GCTCTTTGTGACAAAAACCAAAAATACAGAAAATAAGTACGTTCCTCAGTATAGTAAGAACACGCAGCCAGTCTAAGACAGTCAACTTCGCTCAAGTTTTCAGAAGAGTCATAACTTCAATTAAGAATCTAGTGGTGAAGAGAATGCAAGATGCAATAGCATGCCTAATGCAATATACCCTATATGCTTACAAGCAATGCGATAAATATATATATATATACTAATATACAATATAATATAATATAATGACATGCAAGCAATCAAAGAGCGCATATCCCTAAGGATTTCCTTAGAGAAATAAATCTTTGAGCATCAAGGTTATGTGCTGGAACATATTTATGAACAATTAAACCATCATCAACCAAATTTCTAGTATAGTGGCAACGCATGCTAGTACACTTAAGGGAATGTTGATCAGAATATTTGGAAACATTAGCCGCACAAGTATGGTCAGAGAAAAGGTCAATGGCTTGTACCTCAGTTTCAAATTCAAGAAAAATGTGCTTCATCCACACCTTTTCTGAACAACAAGTTTCAGCCACAAGGTTCTGATCGGTGTAAGAACCTCCGTCAGAAGTAATCCATTGATCAACGTCATTCCCAACCCTATCAACATCACAATCTCTAACAATGCCAGAATTCATATTACATGAGTCAAAAGTCATATAATCAATCAAATAGCAATTATCATGCGATCTAGACCCTGTAAGAACACAGTTATTATTCCTATCTAAAACCAAACATTCATTCAAGGTGAAACTCACAGAAAAGCCTTGATCACATAATTGACTCACACTTAACAAATTGACATTCAGGTTCTCAATCAACAAAACATTATCAAGTTTAGGAAGACCAGGCATGTTCAAACATCCAATTCCTACTACTTTATTACTAACACCATTACCAAAAGTGACAGAACCAGAACCATTAGACACAGGTACAACATCAATCAAATTCGATTTAACACCCGTCATGTGTCTAGAACATCCACTATCAAAATACCAATCACGATTAGAAGCGGATTTTGAAGCAAACAGAGATGAAAGACAAGTATGATTCTTTTTGGGAACCCAAATTTTCTGTTGCTTATGGTTCTTTACATCAACCTTCAGTTTTGGTGTTTTCATTGGAACACCAGCGGGGTTCCAGTCATTTATTCTTCCTGCATGTAAATCATTAAGCATCCTATAGCATCTAGGACAAATATGACCAAGAACACCACAATAATGACAAGTAGGAATGAAATTCTTCACAAAACGTTTACGGTGTTCTTTCACATAAACCTGATCAACCTTACCATCAGAGTT